GTGCCAAATGTCAAGTTTGTAGGCTTTACTGGAAATTTTGTGATGATGTGTGAGTGGTATTTCACACACACACACACACACACACACACACACACACACACACACAAGATAACTTCTAGAGAGGTTGGTCTTTTTCATCTCTAGCACAAACCTCTCCCTTACCCACCCCCCTCTGCCTTCCAATTTCTCTCATTTTGTTCTAATTCTATTTTTAATTCGGATCTTTTTTTAAAAAAGTCTTTTTCTGACTCAAGCTCAAATCCCATGGGCCTATCTGAATAGTGTGTGCTTGGCTTCTGTGCTTATTTGCCAGAATAAAACGATTCACTTCCCAGAAGGAATTCTTGGTGGTGTCCTTTCCAATCCATAAATTAGCCGCCAGCTCTCAAATGGCCATAGTTTTACCAGTTTTACCAATTTGGAGGCCTTTCACAGGTCGGACAAAAGAAAGGGGTACTTCTTCAGTTTTTGGCTGGACTGTGGAATCATTGGATGACCCATTTCCTGAGTGTGTGACCATATACAAAACCACAACGGAAAACTCGAAGGCCAGGCAATTTAAAAATGCAATTTAATAAATGCAATTTATTCGATCTTTCTCCTGAGCCGATTGAAGTGCCTCGCACAACGGCGAGAAATCCTCTCTGCACAAAAAAATAGAGATAACTTTAATTCCCACAATGGATGACCAGTTGGCAAAGCTGATGGGAGCTCTCCGAAGCAGCTAAATTGTTTGCTTTTACGAAAGACTACAATTAATTTTGTTTCTCCTTGGAAACCACTTCTGGACTTGATGCTTGAGGTAGAGAACAAAATATGAAACTTCCGATTTTGTGTTCCGCAGATCAGATAAGGTTTGTCAGTATAGAAACGGCCAGTACATTTTACTACGCAAAAGTAAAAAAGTCAAGGTGGCAAGTAATGATCTTATTTTACTGCGCTAAAAATAATTGAAAGTCATTTTTTTTCCTTTCCTCTTTTAACCTACCCTTTTTTCTCTTCCCCTTTTTCCTCCCCTACATTTTTTTCATTCCCCCCCCCTTTGTATCTGACGTTTTGATAATATATATAAAAGGAAAAGAAATTGCGTTTTGCAAACAAGGACACGGAGGGAACTGAATCCTCCTCACAAGGAAGCCTCCCTCCCTCCTTTTCCCCTCCGGGCAGCTCCGGCCTTCCTCCATCCCTTTGGGATGCACGTCACTTGCCAGACAAAACCAAATTTGGGAAGACAGGAAACGAATTCCAAAATCCACCCCGCCTCCTCCCCAACCGCCCGGGTCATCCAACCTCAATCCTGTCTCTAACTGAGCGGCGAAGGAACGGATTCAGCCATGAGCAACTTTCCCAGCCAAAAATTAGCCCCGTAAAAATCCCGCTTTTCTAAAAGTTTGGGGCAGCTTTAAAAGTTTGCTAAAACTGGATTTTGTTTGTTTTCTTTTCCTGGCTGAAGGCAGACGGGGAGGGGAGTTGAAGGGAAGAAGCATGGAGCTAAAAACTAAGAATTAAGCTAAAAACACAACAGAAAGGACCACCCCCCTTCGCTCGCCGCATTCCTTGAGGCAGACGTCAGCTTTCAGCTATGCAGTTCCCAATGACATCATTGTAGCCCCTACCCTCCTTTCCCAGATGCCAGGGGGGGGGCAGCTCTGGGGATTAGGTCCTCTCTGGTGCAACCCCCCTCTCCCCAAATCGTAAAATGCTGGCTGGGAACAAAGGAAAAAGCACGACGATTATCGTTGCTCTGGGCTAGGAGCCTCCAAACTTGGCGATGTTCAGATTTGTGGGATTCAACTCCCAGAATTCCCTAGCTTGGCAACCGTCCTTGGCATGGCTGGCTGGGGAATTCTGGGTAGTTGGAAAGTCCACAAGCCTTAAAGTTTGGAGACATCCCCCCACTCCTGCTTTGGGTTATCAAATCCGTGGAGCCTTTGCAAAATAAATAAATAAATAGATCCCCCAGGTCAATTTTGTCTACCCATTAAGGATCCACTTGGCAACAGGCACCTATTTGGGACCGTCGCGCTATCCTGGGATCGAGTGATCCCCGTTTGTTTAATCTTTCCAGCCAGCTTCCGGCAAGCACAGTCAAGGAGGGAAGGACCGCTGCAAGGTTCACTTAGCAACGGCACCGATCTGCCTAACGACGATGGCAAAAAAATAAAATAATGAAGCAGAACGAAGCACGGCTTCGCCGAAAAAGGCTTGCCTGCCAAAAATTGGGGTTCGATGGTAGTCGTTAAGCCAAGGATGGTCTTGTACGGATACAGATGAAGAGTTGGAAGGGACCTTGCAGGTCATCTAGTCCAACCCCTGCCCAAGCAGGAGACCCTACCCCATTTCTGACAGAGGGCAGTCTAGTCTCTTCTTGAAAGCCTCCAGGGATGAAGCTCCCGAAGCAACACACCCTGAAGCAGCTTTTGTGAGTCAGAAATAAGTCACACTTCCCCTGACCGACAACTGAAAATGGCAGGTTCCTTGTTTTTTTTTTTTTTAAAGAGTAGCATCACCCCTGATTCACATCTGGCCTGCAGCTGGCGACCAGATCCTGCGCAAGCAGAGGATTCCCCATGAACTCTGGAGCACTTCTGACAGCCTCCAACGCAACGCAGGACACCCTTGTGAGTCTCCATAGTATAGGTTCTCCTGCTTGAGTAGGAGGCTGGACTAGAAGACCTCCAAGGTCCCTTCCAGCTCTATTTCTATTCCTTTGCAACCACCCAACTTTTCTGCATCTTGGTGGGGTCCAGAGTTCTGACTCTCTGTTACAGGTAAATCCTCGACCGGCTGCGGTTGTTAGGTTGCCAACTTAACAAGCTCCAGCCTTTCACTTCACAACTGTGGCCAGAAAGGCGTGGAGTGTTGCAAAACTCACTTTACTTTTGGGTAGGCGTGGTTTTTTCTTTTTCTTTTTTTGCAGTACCCCCCTCCCCGGCCATTTTGGGGGCCTTCTGGGCCTCAGGGAAGCCTCCTTGGGGGTGTTTTACCCCCTGGGGACCAGGAAGGCAAAAAATGGAGGGGGTGGGTTGTTTTTTTTTTTGCTGTGCCCCCCCCTCCATTTCTTGCCTTCCTGGGACTCCTGGGTGAAGCAGTAAGTAAGTGAGGGGAATCCTGGAACAGCTGATCATAGGAATAGCTGATCGTCGGGAGGAAAAATATAAAAAGAAATACCTTAAGAAGTGACTGGGCGGGGAAGAACGCAGTCAGCGATGTTGGGCATGTGCGCAATGTTGCGCATGCACAATAAGGACTGACTGGACAGGGAGGGGAGGGGAGGACTGAGAGGGGCGAGGCCAGCCAGGGACACGATTTGCCGGTTCTCCGAACTGTGTAGAATCATAACAACCGGTTCTATAGAACCGGTCCGAACCGGTAGAATTCCACCCCTGGTTAAAGTCTACCCATACAGGTCTACCTGGACTTACACTAGCTCTCTTAGGGACTATTCAAAGTTACGACAGCACTGGGGGAAAAAAAAGTGACTTATGGCCAGTTTTCACACTTTGGACCGTTGTAAGCAGCCCCGTGGTCACCCGATCAAAATTCAGAGGCTTGGCAACCGACTCGCGTTTATGATGGTTGCAGTGTCCCTCTGTGTGTGTGTGTGTGTGTGTGTGTGTGTGTGTGTGAGACGGCGATCACTTTCCAAACAAGCCAAGTCAATGGGGACTCGCTGAACAACCGGGTTCCCAATGAATCAGCTGCAAGTGGTTCACTTAACGACTGTGGCAAGAAAGGTCGTAAAACGGGGGCAAAGCTCACAATTGTTGTCGTAAGTGGAGGACTCCCCACGATTGACTGAGAAGGCACAAAGATTTCAAAAGCTTTGGGGGGGGGGAGCCTCTTTTGAGACTGCACCTTCAGCTGGAGGCTCCATTTCAAGAGCAGCGGCCCGATTCCGTCACAAGCCTGAAATTCGGGGTGCAGCTTCAAAAGAAGGCAGCGGGTGAGCAACTCTTTGAAGTTTAGGCTCTCTGTTGTTTTTTTTTAACCTTCGGGCTTTAATATTTTTTACTCTCTATTCCTAATTTTTAAAATTCTTTCTTCAAAACTGTTATCGCCTATAGAGGCTGCCTATCTGCTCCAGCCATAACTTAATAATTCTCAATCTGGGATTTTAAGAATGGGGAAACGGGAAGATGAAAGGAGCATTTCTATTTGCTGCCGAAATTTGGATATTTGCCCCATGGTCCTAAGTCCTTGGGGACTGGGAACCTGTGGCTTTCCGGATGCTGTGGGACTATATCTCCCATCATCGCTGACCACTAGCCAGTGAATCGGGACTGGGCAGGGGTGGTGGGATTCTTCTGGCTTGGACCGGTTTGGACGAACCAAATTTGCACCTGGTTCACCAAACCGGTAGTTGAACTGACCGGCTGGCCCCACCCACCCTTCTCCTCTCCTCCCCTGAGTTTTCACGTGGTCCACTTTGGATGCAGGTGAGTATAGGGTCTGCGCGGAGGCTCTGGGAGGGTGAAAAAACAGGTCTTCCGGAAGTCCAGAACGGGCCTGTTTCCAGCTTCCGGAGCTCGGGGCAGGCCGTTTTCGCCCTCCCAAAGGCGCAAGGAAAAGCCTCTGGACCCTTGGGAAGGCAAAACAAAAAACAAAAAACCAGCCCTCCCACCATGGCTATGCCCAAACCGGTTGCTGGGATTTTTGGGGCTGGGGGAGGAGATCCAATCTCCTCCACTCAATTTAATTTCCCTCTTTCCCTCGCCTGCCTTCAAACAAGCCCCTAGATCAGGGGTGTCCAACCTTGGCAACTTTAAGACTTGTGGACTTCAACTCAGCTTTGCTGGCTGAGGAATTCTGGGAGTTGAAGTCCACAAGTCTTAAAGTTGCCAAGGTTGGACACCCCTGCCCTAGATCAATTCTCAAATTACTTTTAACACCTTCAATGGCAAACTCAACATTTGAGCTCTTAAATTACGTGCTATTTTGTGTGTTAAGAATTTACAAGACGCCAAGATTTGGTAAAATGTTCTCTTTTTTTTTTTTCCTGTTCCCCAGCAAAGCCTCCATTTACCAAACATCCCATCACCTGCTGCTTCTGATCTAGAATCCGGCTGAAAATAAATCACACGTAGGTTTACGCACAAAGACATCCGCAAGGGTGGCGCCAATGTATTTTTCTTCCTGCCTGGATAAATTACTCCAGAGATTTGGGGAAAAAATTGTTTTTTTTTAAATTGCCTGGTATCTTTGGAACTTTGAAGTTAGAAAAAGTTCTCCTGCAGGCCTCTAGAGGCCAGAGTTAGCATTCAGATTGTCCCAAAGCTGCCCTCTTGTGGACGGAGGGCAAATTGTCCCGCCGAAAAAAATCCCGAGGAGGGGATTTCAGAATAAAGTGGCTTGTTCAAACCGCTCCTCCTTCCCGCCGGGGTCCCTCTTCTGCCGCCGTTGCTGAATCATTTCTCGCCGCCGGCGGTAAGCGAGGAATTCCTTGCGCAGGGCGGCGCAACGCTCCTCGGGACTAGCCAAGGGCAACGGAGAGCTGGACCCGTCCAAGGCGCCGACCGACTGTGAATTCGTAGGAGACGTTCTGCTGGATTCGGTTGAATCTCTGAAGCCTGCAAAAGAGGAAGACACAGGTTCAAGTCACGTTAAACCCATCCTTTGGGGGAATGAGGTCAGATAGCTTATTTAATAAAATAATAAAATAATTAATTAATTAATTTAATCATTATCATTAGGTCCTGTGCAGGGAGTGGTACGGTGCCCTAGAGGCTCTCGCCTCCTAATCAGGAGGCAGTAAGTTCGATCCTAGGTAGAGGCAGCTATTTCTCTCTCTGGGCACACTGAGAATATTATCTGCTGGACAAAACTCCGCACTGGTGACAGGAAGGGCATCCGGCCATTCAAGCACTCTGCTAGCTCCATTTGGTTGCTCAGATGTCCACCCTGCAAGGGATTATGGGGTCGTTAAAAGATTGTTTTCCAATTGTTTTCGATTGTTTGTATCGTGTTCAGCACTGTCTCATAATCTTAAGGCCTCCCTTGATTTTGGGGGGCAAATTTAATTTAATGCATAAAATTTCATGAATAAAACCCCTTTTCGGGAACACGCTCTTTCCTACACGCTGGGGAGATCGGCTTACTCTGCTTCTCCAAGTCGTGGGCCGCGATGGTGGAAATGGGCCTTTTGGGGTCTCCGCTCCGATAGAGTTGTAAGGCGTCCAGTAATTCCGACTCCAGAGCGAACTCCGAATCCCACTCATAGTTTTCATCCACGGAGGTGTTCCTCCTAGGAGAAGAGACCAGGGAAGTGTAAGCCAGACGGGCGAGGAAAATGAAAATCTAGAAATGGGTTATCACTCAGAGAGCCACTGTGGTGGAGCAATTGAAGGCAGCAGACCCCGAATCCCAGTCCTGTTTGGATACCAAGCCAGCTAGGTGCCTTTGTGCCAGGCGACAGTGAGTTCTAGTCCTGCCTGAGGCATGAAAGCTGGCTGGGTGCCTTTGGGCCAATCACCAGGAGACGGTGAGTTCTAGTCCCGCCTTAGGTATGAAAGGCAGCTGGGTGACTTTGGGCCAATCACCAGGAGACAGTGAGTTCTAGTCCCGCCTTAGCCATGAAAGGCAGCTGGGTGACTTTGGGCCAATCACCAGGAGACAGTGAGTTCTAGTCCCGCCTTAGCCATGAAAGGCAGCTGGGTGACTTTGGGCCAATCACCAGGAGATGGTGAGTTCTAGTTCCGCCTTAGGCATGAAAGCCGGATGGGTGACTCATCGTAAATGTGAGCTGGCTGCTAAGCACCCCGATTGCAATTGGGGTGGGGGGTGGGTGGATGACATTACGCTGGTTGGAATGCAAGGAGCCGTCTAAGTCACGCTTTTCTCAGTGTCGTCATAACTTCAAACAAACTGTCATAAGTTGAGGACCTACTGCAGAATGGAATCTGGGGGCCCTCAAATTTTCAATGAAAAGATGCTTTGCAAGGAACATCCCCACCTCGTGGATACATTGGGAATAGCAGCTTCTTTTCCATCTGTCAGAGCCAAAATTTGGGATAAGCATAACTTTTTTTTTCCTTCTCCCCATTCCAAAGACCCTCAACACCTCCCAAAACACAACCGGATCAATGTTTAGCATCTGAGCCAAACTCAAAAGGAAACTGAAGCAAGTTGCGTTCACACAACCACGCCAGACGAGGCGGAAATAAACAAGGAAAGTTCTGAGGCAACGCAGTGTAAGGGGTGAACTGCTGTCTGGAATCTGAACAGGTGTGTGTTTTGCACATCCTGGCTGGATCCAGTCAGTCATTGGGGTGTGTGTGTCTGAGTTAAATTGCAAAATCGCAAACCTCTTTTCAAGGCCTATTATTTGAGGGATGTTGCTACTTCGACTTAGCAGACTGAAATTCCTCAAAAACGCTTTCCAAAATTCAGGGCTGGAGCTAAATAATAACAAAAGAAGGGGGAAAAAATCTACGTTTTCTGTAGCTGTGCCTTCCAATTTTAGAACGTAAGAGAATTTGCTTCCTCTTCTGGCCTGGATCATAACAGCCGAGTACCAGACAGATTCCCGTCTTCTGTGATTAAACCAAGATTTGTTCAAAGCCAGCCAACACCCAGTTAATTAAAGCTTAAACGAATAATTCCCTTTCCGGGCACAACCTAGCTCTGGAAAAAATGCCTTGAATTTACAGAGGGGAGGTTGCAATTCCACTTAGAGGTCGCCTCTGAGTTCCTAAAGAGGGAGGCTCAGTCTTAAGGACTAGAAACTTGTTAACATTTTTGTTTCTTGAACCTCGCACTCCTCCTCCTTAGGACCATCCGAAACAAAATGGATACCTAACGAAAGGCTCAGCCTCGCGACCCTCCCAGGATTCGACCTCACCTTTTCTCCAACACAGCTGCTAAATTCTCCTTTTTGGATCTGTTCTCTTCTCCCACGGAGCTGCTTCGGCAACTGGGCGCTTCTCCGAAGGGGGAGCTGAGGTAGCTGCCCGCCACGGAGGTGGCCAACGACGGCGGTCTTAGGAAAGAACCACTGCCCCGCCCGCTGCTTTGGCTGGTCAGGCTGCCCCTCAGGAATTTCTCCAAGGGGAGGGATTGTGGGAAATTGGCGGCGGGCGACTTGTGTTTCTCGGGGGGCAGCTCGGGCAAGGGGAAGTCCAGGCAGGAGAGCTCAGCCTGGGGGCAATCCGGAAGGAGCTGGGAGGAGGGTGAGGATGACGGGAGCGTGCATAACCATCCTTGATCCTTCGGCGGTGGGCTCTCCGTCCTGGAACAGAGGTACGGCGGGCAAGCCAGGGACCCCGGCAAAGGCGTCTTCGGTGGGCCCGTATCGGGATCCGGAAGTCGGAGGAAGCACGTTTCCGCGAGCTGATCCTGAACGGAGCTCCAATCGGCCTCCATGTCCATGTAGATCGGACTAGCTGGCCTCTCCTGGTCTGGAACCAAAGACCTCCGGGGGCTGCCCAGCAGACCGGGCTCGTGGTCGACGGTCTCCCCCGAGAGTCCGTCTTCCTCCTCGTTCTCCTCCGGCGGCCAATCGCCGTCCACATTCATTTCTTTGAAGAAGGGCAAGCTCAGATACTGGAGGATCCCACTCTGAGCCGAATTACTCGCGCCGGCCTGGACTCTCGGGGACGGAGAAGTCACTTGGGATGTACGGTGAGGCGAGGACGATGGAGAAGAGGCCACCACATTGTCCCGGAGCCACAGGGTTTCCGGGACAGCGCCGTATGACGTGGCGGCCACCGGGCTGATGTTGACGATATGCAAGGGCTCGCCTTCCTCCGCCAGGCTGCTGCTGCTGTAGTCGAAATAACGGCCCTGGCGATGGCCGGAGGCCTTGGCTTCCTGCTGGGCCTGGCTGGTGTTCTTGGCTCTCAGGTGGACACCATGGTGCCATCCAGCATCCTCGGGAGAGGAGAAGACCTGGAGATAGGGCTCCGGTGGGCTTTCGCCGTTCTCCAGGTGGGAGAAGGGGCTCTGGTGTTCTCGGGACGCCTCCTCGCTCTGCACCACGAAGCGGCCATCGGGACCACGGGAAATGCGTTCGAGAGGAAGCGGCTGCTCCACGTGGCTCTCGTAGAGGACATAATTGGGGCTGTTCATGGCCTGGCCGCCGGAGAGATCGAGGCTGAGGTTGCGGCCGACTTTTTCGCCCCACAAGAGGGTTCGGCGAAGACTCTGATAGGGAGACCCCTGAAATTTCAGCTTCATAATGCTGTCCGGGCTAGCTGTACCTGTTGAATGCCTGTAGGTAGAAAAAAGAGAGAGGGAGGGAGAGGGAGAGCGAGAGAGAGAGAGACATGGCTTCTTTTACTAACTGTAGCAAGTGGTTCTTCCACCCAATCACAACTTTCCCTAACCGGAGCCATAGTTCTTAAATAAATTGCTGCAGTTAAGAGTTGGAAGGGACCTTGTAGGTCATCTGGTCCAACCCCACACCCAAGCAGGAGACCCCACACCATTTCTGACAGAGGGCAGTCCAGTCTCTTCTTGAAAGCCTCCAGGGATGAAGCTCCCACAACTTCCGAGGGCAACTTTCCTTCCATGGGTTGATTGTTCTCCCTGTCATAAAATGTCTCCTCATTTCCAGGTTGAATCTCTCCTTGTTCAGTTTCCATCCATGATTCCTTGCCTGGTGCTTTGGAAAAGAGCTTGACCCACCCACCCCCTTCCTGTGGCAGCCCCCCCAAATATTGGAACACTGCTGTCTTAAGTCAGTAAACACGGTTGTTAAATGAATCTGGATTCCTCATTGATGTTGCTTGTCAGAAAGTCGTGAAAGGTGAGCACGTGACCCTGGGAACTGCAATAATCAAGAACTACCTGTAAAGGTTTATTACGGAGGAAAAGAATACCCCCCCACCATCGCATGATAGCCCCCTGTTTAATAAAGAAAAAAAAATGCTGTGAGGTCCTTAGTGCTCTCTGAGCTTGATTATTTCCTTGCAGACGTTTCATTACCCAGCTAGGTAACAACATCAGTATTAGAAGGGTGTGGGGTTTGCTGAATGGAGGAGGAGGAGGAAGAAGAGGAGGATAACTATGGGATCCTTGGTGCTCTCTGAGCTTAGTTATTTTCTTGCAGACGTTTCATTACCCAACTAGGTAATAACATCAGTACTAGAAGAGTGTGGAGTTTGCTAAAAGGAGGAGGAGGAGGAGGACGACTGGGCTCCTTGATGCTCTCTAATTTCTCTTATTTTCTTGCAGACGTTTCATGACCCAACTAGGTAACGTCATCAGTGCTGACGCCTGAGCTACAAATATTCTCTTCTATCAGGAAAAAAAGACAGCAGATAAGAGGGAACGGCTCTGCAGAAGCAACCGGGGAAAGGAAGGGTAAGTAACGCAACGGTGCAACTTACTGCGTAGAGAGAAGCTTCTTGGTGGAGGAAAACACAATGGGTAGATCTGGAAGGTCATGAGAACACAAAAGGGGAATTACACAGGGAGGAACACAAAACCGGGCAATCAATAATCTGGCAGTGGGATGGACAATTGCCACACCGCAACCTGCAGGCCCACACACACACACACACAGCTTTTGACCAGAGTTCCCAGATCCCTCAAGACCCAGCCCAGCCCACCTTGCAGGGGTGGTGGTTGTGGGGAAAATAGGAGGAGGAAGGATGGTTGTGTGCATGTTTGCCGTGTTGATTTATTTATAAAAATAATGGCAGGATTTTAAAAAGCGGAAATGAACAAGAAAAACCATTGCATTCAATTTTTTTAAAATAATCAAATTTATATTAGGTATAAAGTGCAGGAAAAAAAAATAAGATAATGCCTAGTAAATATAAATGTGAGTGTGTGCGCGCGTGTGTGTGTTTGCAAAGTCCAAGGTGAGATTTCTCCCAAGAGGCTTTCATAACAGCCACAGGGAAGGGTTGACCTGCCAGTGTGAAGTGTGGCATAGTGAGTTGAGTGTTTGGGGTCAGTGTTTTTCTACTGTGGCAACTTTAACATAACTTCCAGAATTCCCCAGCCAGCATGCTTTAAGATGGATGGACTTCACCTCCCAGAATTCCCCAGTCAGTGTGTTTTAATGTCTGGACTTCACCTCCCAGAATTCCCCAGTCAGTGTGTTTTAATGTCTGGACTTCAACTCCCAGAATTCCCCAGCCAGCATGCTTTAATGTCTGGAATTTGACTCCAAGAATTCCCCAGCTAGCATGCTTTAAGAGGGATGGACTTCAACTCCCAGAATGCTCTAGCGATTCAAGGGGAGAAGGCTACAACTCACTTCCTCGGAGCTTTCCATGGTCCTGAAGCAGCCAGCCTAAAATCTGACTTGGCCTGGGAATGACTGTGGACTCCACATTTGGAGGTCAAACATCCCCAGTGCAGTGACATTCTGGGAAGTCATTTCTGCACGCAAAGCTTGTTATTATTTCTAATGGAAAGTCTTGGGTTCACCCAACATCCCGATTTGGCTTTGTTGGCATCCCCCCACAAGGCTAGACTTCACACCCATGTTTGTGACTGTCTTGGAACATGCTGGCTTTCCACTGATGGCTCTTTTCCCCCCAAGGGAAACCAAGGCACGAAGAAGATGCCGCCTATCCAACGTTCCGCAGCGGAAAAAGCGACAGTAATATTGCTAGCTGTGTTTTTTTCCCAATTGAAAAACAACAGCTCCTAATTCCCTCTTGCTTTCTTAGGAAGGAAATAAATATGACAAAGATTCTCTGAAGCTCAAAAATCCACATTATGCCCAAACATCCTTTCCTCAGTTAATCCGATTTCAGAATAGGCAGTTTAGCAAACGGCTGTCCACCATACCTCCTCCTTCTCCTGTACGTCAATTGAAGACTCAGTCATCCAAGGCCAAAAGTATCACAAAAGTTGAAATCATGGCAACTGGACCAAAGTTTATTAAAACAGAGATGTTTTGTCACTCATCCAATCAAAATGAAAATCATGGGAATGTACTAACTGTTGCCAAACAGACTGTAGGGGCTTCCTCCCTAAAAGTCAGAAAATAAACTTTTCAGATACTTTCAGCCTGGATGATTGAGCGTTTACATATTGATTTCCATTTTGGGGAGAAACCTATCAGAGTGTTTGCAGCGTGACTACCATTATGAGACAAACCCAGGAGCAAAAACATAGCGCACAAGAGACTTAGACATTTAACAGTGGTTTATACACAAGACCTATCCAGAAATATATGCGGTAGGCAAAATACCTGACAAGCAATCAATCTTCTTCTTAACTCTACACGGAGAACTCTGCAATGAATACCGACACAAGGAGAGAGAACACGCCCTCTAATGGCTTCTTTATATAAACACCTCTTAAAGGGGTAGAACCCATCCCTAGTCTTAAAGGGAAAAAAAAAACCATACTATGCGGATTCATCAGTCTTATAACTGCATCAGACTTATAGCAGCTGGCAGCTATTACTGCTGCTGGTCAGCTCTTAAATCTTAATACCTCAATAAACTCCTCCCCCACCCTCGCAGTCAATATGGCAAGAGTTAAGTCTATTCCGACGACTTTCTGCCTATCCAAAATTTTCATTTTGACTGAAGACGTTACCTGGATGAGTAAAAAAAAAAAAAAAAAAGCCCCAATTTTAATAAACTTTGGTCCAGTTGCTTTGGTCCACTTTTGGGGGCGGCTCTTACCTTGCCTGCGTTTGCGGAGACGGGCTTGTCTCCTCCGGTTCATGACACAGGCGGCCATGGTGCTGAAGATGACTGCCGTGCTCAGGAAGCAGACGCCCCCAATCACGCCGGCCAGCACAGGTTGGGGTAGCATCTCAGGGAGCTGGGTGCGAGACGGGTACACTTCCATCCCTGCGGACGCCAAAGCAAAGCGAGAGCAATCAAATATGTTGTCGTTTGGCCACTTTATCTTCGCGATCCCATGGACCCACAGCCCTCCAGGCTCCTCGGTCATCCATCATCTCCGGAGTTTGCCCACATCCATGTTCCTTGTGTCAATTACAAGTGGTCCTCGGCCTTACGGCGGTTTGTTTAGTGACCATCTAAAGTTACAACAGCCCTGAAAAAAGTGACTTAAGACCGTTTTTCGGTTATGACCTTCGCGGCATACCCATGATCGGGTGTGATCCACACTCCGACGCTTGGCAACCGACTCATGTTTATGACGGTCATTGTGTCCCGGAGGTCAGGCCGATCCCCTTTTGTGACCTTCTGACAAGCAAAGTCAAGGGGGAAGCCAGATTCACTTAATGTCCGGATTCCAGCATCATGAGTCTCGAGCCAAACTTCCAAAGCTTCGAAAGGATTTATTGGGAGTTATCATGCCGGCACTGCCTGGGTGTAGCTGACTCTGAGACATATAATTCATTGTCTCCCTTGACTCTGGTTTTCCCCCCACCCCCTGGGTGTATCATAATTCATATTCTCCAATGGGACACCTCCATAGCCAAGAGTCAACAATCAAGCTCTCCAGTTAGAATTTTGCACGGCAGAAACTTCAGTCACCTAGTTACTATCTTTGAAAACATGTATGGAATGCACTTTCGGTTTGCAAGCTGCCGCACTGCTCCCCCCTCCCTTTCTATTGGCAACTCTAAAAAGACCAGAGAAACATTTTATGAGTTGACACTTAAGGAGCCTCGGTGGCGCAGTGGTTAAAGTGCAATACTGCAAGCTGCTACTGCAATTTGGCAGATCGAATCCCACCAGGCTCAAGGTTGACTCAGCCTTCCGTCCTTCCGAGGTGGGTAAAATGAGGACCCAGATTGTTGGGAACAAAAGGCTGACTCTGTAAACTGCTTTGAGAGGGCTGTAAAGCAAGTCTAGGTGCTATTGCTATTAAACAATTGTGTGATTAATTTATCAATGGCAGTTAACAACTACTGGCAAGAAAAATCGTAGAATGGGGCAAAACTCACAGAACAATTGTCTCACTTAGCAACAGAAATATTGGACTCAATTGTGGTCGTAAGTCAAGGACTACCTGTACACCATCTAACTATCTCATCCTCTGCCCTTTCGCCTTCCATTTTTCCCAACTTCAGGGTCTTTTCCAAAGTTTTCTGATTAGGCATCTAAAAAGGTTCAATTACGGCAACGGGACCAAATGTTGTTACTTATCCAACTAACTTCAGTCAAAATAAGAAAAATTAGTCAGAAAGTAGTTGGCTATAGTTAGTACATTCCAACGACTCTCTAACTCCCTGCCTAGTTTTTTTTTTTAATTCTATTTTGACTGATGAAGTTATTTGGATGAGTAACGAAACGTCTCAGATTAACAAGCTTTGGTCCAATTGCCACGATTTAATCGTTGTCAATACTTTTGGCCTGGATGATTTAGTCTTCGTTTACACACTTCTGATTAGGTGTCCAAAGTATTTGAGCTTCAGCATCTGAATTAAATATGTACCATTCATATACAACACACCAAGCTTGTTTGACACTCATTCAGGCCATTTCTTGCCCAAGGCTCAGCCTATTTAATAAATTGGTAACTAAAGTATTATCAATTGTATAAAATATTAAATAACTAAAGCATTACTGAAGTGATATGTCCTATGACAAAAGTTAGGAGCAGAGGCAAAGCTAAATCAAAAAAGAGGTTGATTATTACAAACAAGGTAGCAGTAGGGATAAAAAATAAAGAGAGGGATAAATTTTCCTGAAACTGTTAATATAATTCGGAATTTTAGAAAAATGAAGAATTACTTCTATGTCAACAGGCAACAGACGAGGTTCTTTTAGTATAAGGTTTCTTAACTCCGGAAATGTTCAACTCCCAGAATCCCCCATCCAGGCATGCTTTGAGATGGGTGGA